TTACGAAATCTATGGGATCAGTCGGTCTAAATAGAACGTTTCCCATAGATCTATGGGCTTTTTCGCAAAAAAAATTAATTCGAGGATGATTCGTGTAATTTTCCCGCAGCTTGTGTTTGAGCCCAAGCAGTTGGCTCCTCTGCCTTCGGAAAAGAGCAAAAAACATAGGGTTGTTTGGGTTGTGACTATCTTTGCCATATATTGTCACACTTACCTAACTTGAGTTGCTCAAATTGTTAGCCACATTTTGCTTTGCCTAAAGGAATCTTGCCACACTTTTTCTGTTTATGACATGCAGGGTTCACTATTCATAAAAATATTCTTGCCTTAGTTGTGGCTAGAACCAAACACATACTCCCTCCGTCCCAAAGTAACTATCTCAAGTTTAGTATAATTTTATACTAAAACTAGTATAAAGTTAAGACACATATTTTGGGACAGAGGAAGTACCTAATTTGATGCAATAAGGTAAGTTGTGGCCAAATGTGACAAGGTGCGGCGGCGCCCGCAGCATCGAAGGGAGGGATGCCCCTTCCTCTTTCTTCCGCCCCAAGAAGGCGAGCCGCCTGTTTCCTCCGCCGGTTTGCCCTCCTCCGCCCTCCCCATATAACCGCCCGTCTCAAACCTCAGGCGCATCGCGCACACCAAAAAAAAGTGAAAACCACAGCCTCCCTCCCTCTGATCCGCCGCCCGGCCCGACCAATGGCTCCCAGGAAGTTCTTCGTCGGCGGCAACTGGAAATGCGTAAGCTCTCCCACCCGCCCCGCCCACCACCCGTTTCGTCTCAAGCTTGAAGGTTTTGATCTGTAATAATGGCGTCTCCCGCGGCACTTGCAGAACGGGACCGGAGACGACGTGAAGAAGATCGTCACCGTCCTCAACGAGGCCGAGGTGCCCTCCGAGGACGCCGTCGGTGAGCGCCGCCTGCACTGCGGACCGTTGTTTCCGTCGAGGGCTCTGTTTCCCTTCGGGGTCGGCTCGATTTGGTGTGCTGAGCTGCTGATGTGTTGCAGTGTTTGGTTTTGGATGCAGAGGTGGTGGTGAGCCCGCCGTTCGTGTTCCTGCAGCAGGCCACGGGGCTGCTGCGACCCGACTTCGCCGTCGCCGCGCAGAACTGCTGGGTGCGCAAGGGCGGCGCCTTCACCGGCGAGATCAGGTGAAGCGCCTCTTTTAGCTCTGCCCCCCTTCGCTTCCCCTTTTGTTCGATTCCGCAATGGGGGCGGATGTGGCCGAATCTAAGGGTTTGGGAGCGCCCAAATTTCCACTTTCAGTGTTGCGTATGTCACGTTAGAGTTGCCAGTGAGTAGGTTTACTTCGGGGAAATATAATTTCGTGCTGCTTTCTAGATAAAGTTACACAGTATTGGAACTGTGAATGAGAAAACTTCTCTGTGCGTGCCAAGTCTCTGACGTACGTATGTCATCTTTTCATTGCAGTGCTGAGATGCTGGTGAACCTGCAGGTGCCTTGGGTCATTTTGGGGCACTCTGAGAGGAGAGCACTGTTGAATGAATCAAGTGATGTGAGTGCTTTTTAATTCTACCTTGTTTTTTCAACTAATATTACTTGGTTGATCAGTTGTCTTTGATGTCCAGTTTCTTTGGTTACCAGTAGGTAGGCCGGGAATTTTCGTCAAATTAATTTATATGAAATTCCGTGTTTTATGTTTGGAGAACTACTTGCCAGATGCCAATCCCCTTCCTTTCGAGGCAAAACTAGGCCAGACCAGATGGGTTTTGATTTTATTTTCACCATTTGTCTAACATTGTGAAATTGCATTTAGTCCAGGGAAAATTGGCCCTGACCAATTGATAAAAGTTTTTAACATGAAGCCAGCAAGTTTGTCAAATATAACCAGTTTCTGAACCTTTTTTGCAATTAGTTCTCAATCAAGATGTCTGAACCATTGTTTTCATTTTATTTTGTACTTCATCAGAAGTCCTTTAGTATTGTTTTAGTAACAGCTTTATTATTTCATGACAGTTTGTTGCTGATAAAGTGGCTTACGCACTCGCCCAAGGACTCAAGGTAATTGCTTGCATTGGTGAAACCCTTGAACAGAGAGAAGCAGGGACGACAATGGAAGTCGTTGCTGCTCAGACTAAAGCTATTGCAGGTAACTTTTACTCACTGATATTCAAGGAGATTTTGATACATTGATAACTTCTATCACCAGTTCATGGAAAATGGATATGGTGCTTTGCTTACCATCTGTGTTAAGAATTTTTGTTTTGAGAAATGTGTTGAGACTTCAGAGTATTAATCTAGTATATATGTATGGCCTTAGGCCCATATCATATCTAGGCCTATGAGGCCCATAACTGTTGCATATGTTGTTTTGGTCATGGAATACAGAAATGATTTGGACATTATTCCTAATTATCAAAAAAAAAGATGGCTGATTAATTCCTACTAATGACATATATGCTTCATTGTGCAAATCCTCTTCCATTGTTTTATTACCTTAATATTAAAATAGCCAAAATTGTAATATATATATACAGTATATCCTTGTAACCTCTTCCCTTGAAGATTAGTACAGCATATTAGGCAACAGAATACCTTGATAGAAGTCTGAAAACTATTTGCTGTTTATGTGCGGTATTCATAAATGCTAATGCTGTAGTAAATTAGCACTGGATCTATAACTTGAACTTTTTTTTTTTAGAGAAAAGGCCAGAGCCCGACTTTATAAATAAAGCCACACGGCAGCGTCATGACAACAAACAGGAACGAGACCAGCTAGCGGAACAACTTAAACAGTGCACCGAGCAAATAGTTTGAGACCAGCAAAAAGAGGGAATACAGGCATCCTGCCAAACACGGCGCGCAGGCCGGGAGGGAGAAACCTAAAATCCGCCAACAGCAACACCAAGATTAGACGACGGGATCCTGCCCGGAGATGAGGGATGCCGAAGCCCGAATTTTGTCGATGAGCAGATCCAGGGCATCCCGATCTTCCTCCTTAGTCAATGATCTCCACTGCTGCAATAGCGAACTAGGCTAGGTCATGCAAGCAAACAGATAGTAAACTATACTTCTGAACTTTATTAGTATACCCAAGGAATAAATATTTATTGAATCCATCTATAGCTTAGCTGTACTGTGCATTTTGTGCAATAAATTGAAATGGAGGGATTCTTACCTTTCGTCTGTTTCACTTTTGTTTTCGTCTTATTTTTTCAGAGAAAATATCAGACTGGACAAACGTTGTGCTAACATATGAACCAGTTTGGGCCATTGGAACCGGCAAGGTTGCTTCCCCTGCTCAAGCACAGGAGATATACTGTCTTCAATAAGAGCAATAAGCACTTATTTTCACAGGTTGCTGTTTCTACAAGACATTTTGTTCCAATGGTACTAGGTTCATGATGGTCTGAGGAAGTGGCTCCAAGCTAATGTTGGTCCTGCAGTTGCTGAATCTACCAGGATTATCTATGGAGGTACTACTGCCTGCAATAGATTTACATTCTGCTGCGAAACTGACAGTGAATCATGAACTGAATTTCACTGGAATGCCGATTTCTTCGTACAATATTCCATTCTACCTCGTACTGCTGTAAACTGGACCTCACCCTTTACGTTCTCCTCGAATGTCTTTCCAGGCTCTGTAAATGGGGCAAACTGCAAAGAGCTTGCGGCTCAACCTGATCTTGATGGGTTCCTTGTTGGCGGCGCTTCACTGAAGGTCTTAATCCGTATTCCTAATAAATAATTAACTACACGTGACATTTTATTCAAATGAAGTCAATATAGGACATTATGTCAAAGCTCAATTGGCTAAGGTTATGGATCATGACCTTTACTTTTTTGTATGTTTGTGCAGCCTGAGTTTGTGGACATCATCAAGTCTGCCACCGTGAAGTCTGCTTCTGCTTAGTTGTTTTTGAGATGGACGCAGTTGCTTGTAGGAGTGAAGTCTGCTTATTATCTTTATAAGACTGTTCGACCATCTTGTTCAAATTCGAGTGCACTGTCATGTCGTATTGACCATCTTATCTTTACGGTGATGCATGCTTATGTTTGCTTGTTTTGGCATGGATGTGTATATTCGAAAACTCTGTTACCTGATGCCTTTTCTAAAGTTCTTGCTTAAACCAGGTGAAGTAACATAACTCTTGACGGTACCTTCTCTATATAGTTAGTAGCAACAAGTAGTCGTCTTGTCAGAGAAGAAAAATCAGTAATCCGATGAAGCAGCTTGTGAAGCAGCATCCACGTTTAAATATCTTGCGAGTGTTAGCCTACACGAAACTCGCATGACTTTTCGATTGACATCACTACCTGTTTGAATAGTACACTTTTGCCATTCATTTGAATTTCAATTGCCCCCCGTGTATGTATGTTTGATGCCAACAAATCGCTTTCAGCCGTGCCATCAACCTTACGTAATGACAGCATTCAGGCCGAGGTCAGAGGCAAGTATAAATCAATCAATCTAGAACCTAAAAAACGTGACCATGACCCAGACTTGAGAAACCGGGTCTCCTCCTCATCTCCCGTCGCAGTCCACGAACTAGATTACTTCTTCTTTCCATCTCATCGCGTCGGGATGTTTCATGGACGTCCGTCAGCCAACAATTTCCAAAACGCGCTAGAGTTTGACTTTGGCAGGCATCTAGACTCCCAGCAGATACGCGTCGCTGTCGACCATCATGGTGGCACAAGCCGCAGATGGGAATCCAGAGCGAACCATCCAATCGGCACGATTAATTGTTAGTCCTGAACTGGGACTGGGAGGAATCAAACCATGTTCGTGCTAGCGATGACTAGTTCCACTATGCTGGCGAGTGGCCAACTAACATGACTGGCACCTATAGTTAGCGCCGTTTCCTAGGGAGGAAAACGTTGGTAATAGCCTTGTTTCCAGGAAGACGTCGATCAAAGGTGTAAGAGCAGGGCGCTGCAGACAGAACTACTGGTGCAGAAAAAAGAATGACCAGTTGCGTTGGTGGGATAAAAGAAACGGAGATGGCTCCACCTTCTTTCCGTGTGGGTGTGGGAAGTGAAGGAGAGAGGAAGCGTGGGAAGAGCCGTGAACCGGTCCGGTCCAAACAGGAGCTTTCTCCACCGGCAGGCATCCCTTTCTCACGCTGGCGACCGCTGCAGAGCTTTGACCTGCCTGCCTATGCTCGAGCGGCCAGCCAAGGCAGCGAATGCGTACAAATACATACGGTAGGCAGGTAGGAGGCGGCAGCGGTATCTTGCTTCCAAACGCGACCTCATCAGAGCAAGACCCGGAGGAAACAAGGAGAGGCCAGAGCGGCCTGTCACAAGGCAAAGGACAGAGGAGGTGCTTGTTCAGGTCTCCTGCTAGATCCGGAGGCGATGGGCAGGGGCGTGCTGGAGGTGCATCTCGTCGACGCCAAGGGCCTCTTCGGCAGCGATTTCCTAGGTGAGTACCCCCTCCTTGTCGAATTGTAAGAAGGAACTGGTGGTGTGGTACCTTCTTGGTTTGCTTGGCTTCGATTTGCTCCGCTCTTGCGTTCCATTGTGGGTGGAGACTGATTGATCTTTGTGTTGACCTGTATGTGCGTGCAGGGAAGATCGACCCGTATGTAATCGTGCAATACCGGAGCCAGGAGCGCAAGAGCAGCACCTCCAGAGGTCAGCTCTCTGGTTTTGTTTTCCTCTTCATGATTTTTGTTGCTGCAAATGATGATACTCCTGGTTGGATGTCGGAACGGAGCAACGAACGGCCGTTGACTCTGGCAAAATAGATCCAAGAGCCATCCGTTCCCTGCGAGGCTGTGACTCACCGTGTGCTGTAAAATGATGCAGATGAGGGGAGGAACCCGAGCTGGAACGAGGTGTTCCGGTTCCAGATCAACTCCTCTGCGGCCAACGGGCAGCACAAGCTCTTCCTCCGGATCATGGACCACGACAACTTCTCCAGCGACGACTTCCTCGGCCAAGCGACGTGAGTGCTCCTCACCTCCTAGTTGTGTAGGATCTTCATGAAAATAATTATGATTTTTTCTTCTTTCTGTAATGACTTTTTGAATCATAAGGCTAGAATTGTCAAATTCCTATGTGGAATGCAACACTATGCACCCCATCATGAGCTCATACCTGTAATTTATTTTCATTTCAACAAGTCAAATGCAGTCACTTTCTATCTCTTTCAACTCTCTTTCATCATTCTTATAAGGGAAACACTTGAAAATTTTTTTCATATTTTCCGAGATCCGGCACATTGTTGTTGTGTTTTTTCTTAGTTCCTAGTTCATGCTATCTAAACCTCGAAACCATCTGCGATGCAGGATCAACGTGACCGATCTGATCAGCACCGGCATGGAGAGCGGCGCGTCGCAGCTGAACGCGGCAAAGTACAGCGTTGTGTCCGCTGATAACTCATACCACGGCGAGATCAGAGTAGGCCTCACGTTCACCGCCACCAAGGTAAAGACTAAAGACTAAGAGAAGAGATGCAAGCATGATTTCGTACGGTGACTGGCCTCCATTGATTTCTCGTGACTCACCCTCGATGCCCATTTCCAGGTTGAAGAAGACGGAGGGCAGGCCGGAGGCTGGACGCACAGCTCTCGCGAGTAGAGCATGTAACGTCCTTGCCCTTCGCTCGTAGCTTTAGTGTTGGATGCTATGATGTCCGTGACTGAATGATGTGATTCCAAGTGTATGTACGTTGCACCTGTAGTAGCTTTTTAGAAGATGTATATGTACTAGTAGCCAGAAGTCAGAACTCGTAGCAGGCTAGAGGCGTCAATTCCGTTAATTAATTGTCGATTTGTGGTTCTTATTTTAGGGGGAATTGTGATTCTGGATGCGAACAACAGAAACTTTACCGTCGCTGAATGCTTGCTGGTGCCTTGATGGACAGATAGCTTGTTTTACTCATTCTGGTTTTGTCTAGTGCATGGCTTTCATTCATCCCTTGGAGGCTTGGAGCAGCCTTCGTCTGCTCGATCGACGCTACTCCTCCACAGAACGGAGGTGATCGGAGAAAGAAAGGTGGCGTTGCTAGTCACGACTCCGGGACAGGCGGACAGCAAGGTCGCCTGTTCGACAAAAAGAATGGCAAATTACCAGACTGAAACTGCGGGGCCGAACGGGCCGCGGGACGCCATGCCGTTGGGACCGAGCCGAGCACGAATGACGCATGCGCGGAGCTGCCGCCAATATATCTGGAGGTGCGGCGGGCGTGACGCACTGTCACACCTCCGGGGCCAAGCAGTGATGTGCCTGACGAAACTGATGATGTTGCTGTGATGTCGAAGGGAACGGGGGAAGCGGAAAAAAAGGAAAGGCGTCAGCGCCGTAGAAGGGTCGGAGCAATAGCCGATCCAGCCGGGCGCTTCAAACCGGCGCCAAACATGGCCAAATTTCGTGTTTTGACCCATTTCGGATAGAAATTCAGGATCTGACCCCGGTTTGAATTTTTTTGGGGATTTGACCCTTTTGCCTATCTCCAGGGCCTTTGGTAATTTGCCCTGACGGTAGGCTGTATAACCCTACCGCCAGAGGCCCTAGC